ACACGTGGTTCTCAATTGACGACCCCTGGATGATGCCGGCCAGCGCGATCCATTGTGGGTTTCAGTGGATTTTCCGCCTCGACATACTGTAACAACCCTCTTGATGAACGCGGCAGGTTCGGGCAGTGTGGAGTGCCGCACAGCCATTCTAGCCTCGAAATCTTTGGATCACGCCAGTACCTGGGCGGAAGCTCTGCGGTCGCTCCTGAATTGCGCCAATGCACAAATGGTGAGCATGACAAGGGGTTTACTGTTTACAAGAAGGAAGAAAAACTCGGTTCTGTGTAGGTTGTAGAAGGGGTTTATAGAACAGCATTGGGGGGTGTGTACAGAAGGTTGTAAAGAGAAGCTTATAGTCATAGAGAAGTTATGAGAAGTCTATAAGAGGGCTGTAGGAGATTGTGGGAGGTTCTATAGCAGGGTCCTGTAGCAGGGTCTATGGAAGTTTCTCGTAGGAGCGTTTCAGTAGGGTTTAGGAAATAGTGGGGTTTGCGAAAGGGTTTATACAATAGCGTAGGGGGTGCGTGGATGGGTGGTGGATGGCTGGATGCATCAATGGATGCGAGGATGGATGAGTGGATGAGTAGCTGGACAAATGGATGAATGAGTGCATGGATGAAACGATGTTTCGTGTCACCCTCGCTGCTCCAAAATGCTTTCGAGACACCAGTTGACTAATCACATCCTGCATGTACTGGCCACGGCTGGTTCCCGGGATAGGTCCCAGAAGGTCCTATGGTCCTGGCCTTCGGAGGTGGCAGATCCAAGGAAAGTGCCACCTTTTTCGTGGCTTTCGCGGCTGCCCGCTCCACCTGTGGCTGCTCGAGACCTGCACCCTGGGCGATCTTCTCTGCGGTGCAACCGGCCGCAGTGGCCGACAGGACCTTCTTCACCTCGCTGGACAAACCATTCACCAGATCCGCCAAGTTCGGCATCTCGGTGTTTTCGGTGTCCTCGGCCGCGGCTGTACCGAGGAGGAGCAGCTTGGCGGCTGGATTCGCCTTCGCCGTCTTTTTCGCCGCGTCCATGACCGTGCGCAAGGTCTTTGCCGCCAGCTCGGCAGCCTCCTGCGTGTTCAAGAAAAACACCTTCTGTGACTTGGCGGCAGCACCAGCAGCTGCATAAACAGCGGCGGAGCCAACTTGTTCAGACGTGAGAGTCAAAGCCACCGAAGCTTCCAGAGCGGCTGTGACTGCCTTCTGGGTAAGAGCTGCTGGCGACTCTATTCTGGCGAACTGGAAGATCGCAGTCGCAGCTTTCGTACCAACGACCACGGCGACTTGTTGCAAAGTCATTCCTGCCAGCTTCGCAGCCTTACCTGCAAGCTTCGCAAGAGTCACGGCTTCTTGCAAGGCGTCCTTCTGCGAATGCTTGTTTTCTGCCGCAGTCTTGGCTGCTTTGCCAGCTTGGGCTAGAACATCCCCGGGAATTGCAAAGCTGATGGCTTCATCAACGGCGGCTTTGGATGCTTCACTTGCCTGCAACGATGTCAGGCCCGCAGCTGTCGCTGCATCCAATGCTATCTTTGCAGCTTCCTCTCTCTGCTTCTCTGGCTGGGTAGAAGAGTCCACCAAGGCAGCAGCTGCCACGGTGGCTGCGGCGGATCCTGCTCGGACATTGCCGATTTTTGCTTTCAGCCCAGCTTTCTGCGCATACACGGCTGCTTGTGCAGAGAGCTCATGCCTCTTCGCACTGTCTCGTGCACTGTTGGCTGCTGCCATGCCAGCAGCCAATGCAGCGATTGACAGCTTCTCAGGGGTTGGATCCTCTTGGAACAACTGCTGCACGGCTGCATCCGCCGCGGAAGCTATCTCCTCCGTGCTCATGAAGCGTAGGTCGCCAGAGCGAACTGCTGCCTCTCCTGCTGCCTTGGCAATCGGTAGTGCCGCCTGAGTCGCCGTCAGACCAGTCTTTGTTGCCGCATGCAAGGTCGACTTCGCTGCCAGAGATGCGATTTGAACCACGGACTTCTTAGCTCCGGCATCGACAGCGGCAGTAGCCGCCTCGGCTGCTGCTACGGACAGAGTTTGTCTTGTGGTGAGCTTGGCACCCACGGCTTCTTTCGCAGCTTCCATTGACGTGTCGACCTGTTGGTCTGGATTGTTGTTCCCAAGTTTCAGCATAGTCTCAGTTGCTGCATCAACTGCTGTGCTGATTACCTCTTTCGTCGTCTTGCCTTCAGCAACGGCCACTTTCACGGCGGCTTCTCCTGCCGCAATCGCACTTTTCTTTACGGCCACTTTGGAATCTGCTCCGGCATCTGTGGCAAACTGGAACACGGCCTTCGCCGCTGCTTGGGCTATTTCAGGGGTCCCGCCACCAGCTTCTCGGACTTCCTCAGCAGCGGCTGTGCCCACCGCGCTGCTGGCAGTATCTGCATCCAGATTCGGACTTACGCCTGCTTCTTGCAGGGCCTTCTCTGCGGCCTTCGCAGCACCTTCCTTCTTCTGTACCGTATCTTTGGAGCTCTGGGCATGCTTTGCGATCACCTGTCCGGCGGCTTCGGCAGCAGCTTGTGCGGCCAAGGCGGCGCTGAGCCCTGAATCCACCGCGGCCACAAAAGCAGCCTTGGCTGCAACAGCCGCTGCCTCCTCCACGTTCGCAGCTGTGACCAAAGCCTTCTTTGCAGCCGTTTCGCTGGCCACCGCGGCCGAGCGAAGTTCTGCTTCTGTCTCCGAGAGTCCGGCAGCCTTTGCTGCTTTGAATGCAGCCGTGGCAGCGGCCGCTCCGATCACACGGGTGGAGCTGCCCCTGCTCTCTTCTTCCTCTGCTGCAGCTTCTGCTGCGACCTCGGCAGCTGCTGTAGCCGCCACGGCTTTCGGAAGCCCAGCGGCCTTTGCAGCTTCCAGGGCCGCCTTGGCAGGGGCATTCAAGGGCTTCTTCTCGCGTTGTAGCGGTCCCAGCTCCTGACGAATGGCATCACGGACAGCTGCCGCCGTCTCACGTACAATGTTCTTTGCAAGCTGCTTCAAGCTCGGGACTTCCTCTTTGGCTTTCAAACTCTTTGGCGCTTCCTTCGCCTCCTTCTCCTTCTCCTTCTCCTCTTCTTTTGCATCAGCGGCCTTCTCAGCCGGAACTGGTGCCGTCGTCTCTCTCACGGTCTTTACTTTGGGCTTATCGTTTGTGGCCTTTGGCCTCGGGAGGGGCGTGGGCACGGAAAGCACCGGTCCCCCATCGGCCTGTTTGAGAAATTCGATGCGTGACAGGCGTCCGTCCGAGTTGGTATCCAGAAGGTGGAAAAGAGGAAGAAGCTTGTCGGTGGTCTGCCAGTCTCGGGGGTAAAACTGTCGAGCGGAGAACAGGAATTCGTCTTGTGAGATCCAGCCATCTCCATCTGCATCTGCTGCTTGAAATTCTGGATTGAGGCCAAGCATTTCCTTCGACCCCCTTGCTGCAATCACGAATTCAGTGCGCGAGATACTGCCATCTCCATCCTCATCCATGGCCTCAAATATATCGGCCAATGAAGCGCGGCTCGCAGGACTGTTGCGGATGGCTCCGGCAATGAACTCTGGTCTGGAGAGGCTGTCGTCAAAATTGGTATCCAGAGAATCAAAAGTCTGCTCAATGACCACAGCATCAGTGTCACCACGATCTCGCTGAGCTTCGAAATCCATATTCTTATGTAAGGCCTTGTGGATTGCTGCCGGCGGCGCGCCCGCCTTCTGCTTCTTCTTTGCAAAGACACGGCTTGCAAAAGGATACGCAGCATCTTCCAGCTGCAGCATGGCCACAGCTCCACCTGCAGGGGCCCCAAACGACAGTCTAAACTGCTTGTGGCTTTGGTGGCGGCACCTCGAAGCTTCCATGACTCAGCCACGCAGCTCAGAAGCAGGAGAAGCCATGATCTCATTCGGCACGGCCTCGCACGAGCAAGAGCGGAAAGCAGCGACATGAATCATAGCTACAGCATCCAACAGTGGATGGACACACTTCGACTGTGCGACCAACGTTGAACTCCTGGCTGGATCGCATCGGATTTCTGTATGTCACGGCCCTTGACTTCGACTGAAAGGAACCAGAAAGAACACCGGAAATCCAGCGATTGCCTTGCGGATTGACAGCCCCATGCAGGGTTGTCTCTCTGAACCCTGCTGATGGCAAGAACTTCTTAGTCTTCTTGCTTTAGTTCAACAACGCTGCATCAAAATGCCTGGACCTTCCGGATCTTCGATAGCTCCTTGCCGGCCTCACACTGTCGGAGAGGCACCCGACATGGACCGACACCATTGCTCTCTTGTGGCCGAGGGGCTGGGAACCGGCGCAGCGTCTGAAGCTGCACTACAATGTCGGAGATGTGCCCCACCTCAGACTTGCAACTGGGTAATGATAGCGACGCATCGCACGGCATTTGCGCGAGGCGTAGAACACACCGTCTGAGTGGAAGGCATGTGGAGGGCACAAGTGCTGGGCAGGGATGTCGCGGAACTATGATCCGCGACAGCCCGCTTTGAGCATCAAAGTTGAATCGCGGGAGATGCAAACTAACACATTTGTCTGTGTGTGTGTGTGTGGGTGTGTGTGTGTGTGTGGGTGTGTGGGTGTGTGGGTGTGTGGGTGTGTGGGTGGGTGGGTGGGTGTGGCGTGTCGTCCGGAGCCGCTCCCGCCAGTACTGAGATGTCATGTTTCAGGATGTCAAGACGTTTTGCTGCTATGTGTCTCGGAACTCACGCACTTGTCCAGTGCCCGTCCCCTTGCACGCTCAGCTCTCAGGCTTAAATCTGCAGACCGCATGCAACAGAAGACTCGCGGCTGCGCAATTTTTAGGAACAGCCTGACCACGATCTGAGCCGGAACTTTACCGAGCCCGTTTGGCTAGTGCGACGCGGAAGGCCTCACCCAAACAAGTGCCAGCCTGGACAGTGTGTCACAGGAGCGAGCCTAGTGAGTGGTACCTGACGATTCAGTGCTGAGGCTCTCTGGCCTCCAAACATGCCGCACCAGGGATCTGCAGGGTCAGATGCTCAGTCTGCTCAATGCTCTACAGCAAGCTATAGATTTCAGTGGAGACCGCCCGGGTCCTGATCCAGCAAGGTCGCCTGAGACTTTGCAAACAGACTGTCAGAGCCACCCTTTAATTCAACTTACGTCTCCAGCCGACGACATTCCCAAAATCCTGCAGGAAGCTCCCACAGCCGAGGCGCCGTGTCCCTGGTGAACTTCAACACCTCAGCTGCCGACAGCTCTCCAGACAGAGAGCTGTGAGGCCAATTAGACTCGTGAAGAGGATGAACGCCGAAAAGAATTGTCGTTCGATTCAGGACTAACTTTGAGGCTTGTCCGTTGTGTGGCAAGAGAACCACGTCCAAACGGACAGGAAAAGCCAATGTGCATGCTGGTGGCTGGGCAGCTCGAGACAACATAGTCCTTAGTCAAGCTTGCTCTTTGCGAATACAGGCGACTCGCCCATGTTTGCTGCGCCAAAGTCACTAACCATGCCGAATGCACTGGCCCTCGCCACTTGCGTAAGGCCGCCTAGCCACCACTTGAACGTGCATAGCTCCATGTAGCTCTCAGAGATTCGTTACTAAATCGCTTGCTCATATCTGACCTGCCATTCTGAGGAACCACCCCGCTCAAGGACAAACAGGACTCACTTGGTTCACCTCCGCTCGACAAGTCCCTAAACAGCGGGGCGAAAGCCCTGTGCCGAATCAAAGACGAACTGTCAGCATGTCATTGTGCCGGAGGTCATCTCGGGTTTGAAGTTCAGCCCCGATTGAACAACACCCGAATTCCTACGAGCTGTGGTGACTCAGAGAGGCACCGCGAGAAGCAACACAATGGAAGAAGACAGGTCCCTTTGCTACCCTGCTGCTGCGAACAAGACTTCGTGCCTGTGGATCCCACTTGACGTCGGGCTCCTCCATGTGCCAGAAGGCCGTGTCATCTGCGCGGATCAAGACCATTTCCTCTTCCCAGATGCGACGAAACTCGGGGTATTGATCCTGAGATGCGAAATGCTGGCTATGCTCACTTTTCCTGATTCTGAGAGCAGCAGACGGGAGGAATGCAGAACACAGGTCACAGTCGAACTGCCGGAAAGCCTTCGAAATCAAGTTCGCGCGCAACTTAGCCTGCCGGAGCAGGAACCTGCCAGCCTAATTTTTTATGCCTGGCTTACATCCACAGACGTGGCCGTCGTGCAGCCCAGCATCAACGAGCTTCTTAAACGCTGCGTGCATGAGGAGATAATTGCGGAGATCCTGCCCGAAGCGCTTCAAGTGGTCCAGGTCGACACCCCGGAAGAGAGGATGATCCGGGACCCCTGGCGGATCGAGGAACATGGACATCGCATCAGCCCTGGCAGGGATCAGAATTGGGGATACTGGTAGTTCTCCAGCTCAGTCTAACCCAATACAAGAACCACGACATGAACTGAGTCGGAGTCGGCGGTTGAGTACGTGAACGAATGTGAGCGAGCGAGCGGCCTACCTAGGTCGGACTCCGATGTGCAAAGCGATCTCTCCCTTCTCACCCTCGCTCCTTACTGTACATCTTTGAGGGGAGCCCAAACCTCTTGGCACGTGGCCAGATGTGATACGGGGTGTTTAGGGTTGGACGTGGGCCCTTGGTGAGAAATCGCGAGCCAAGACTGTGTTCTCTCACAGACGTAGCTGGAATTTCCCGAATGTGCATCATCATCATCATCATCATGCCGGCCTTAAGTCTACTGACAATGACTGGCTTATTCCTGTACGACCATTCAGAATGACAGGAACACATCGAAGCGACAGGGTTGAACACTAACATCCCGGACACTTCCCAACAAAGACAGCAAACAGCAAGACAGTATCATGACATGCTGGCGCTCTCATTCCGCACCAGCCTTGTCTTGCTGTCCCAGTATCCTCGACAGGCAGCGGGGTTGTGCACCGGAGGATAACAACAGGTTTTAAAACAATCGACCCTCCACCCTGAACCACAAATTCACGAACATATCGGGGACCTGCCAAGAGATGCTATCTTGGCCCCAACTAGCGTCCATGCAAGTCTCCGTTGAACAAGGCCTTCCAGGCCACCATCATCGGATGCTGGCGACGGGCGGCCATCACCCAGTTCTCCACGAACTCCTGGCACTTTGTGGAGGCCTTACGTCTCCCAGTGCTGTGCCGTTCTTTGGGTCCTTGCTCTTGTGCATCTCGCAACCCCAAGCTGAGAAGTAGAAGGCCTTGGAACATGCTTAGATCGATTCCTCGACCGGGCAGGAAGGTGATGCTTGCTCCTTTACTTCCATCTGCCAAGCTGCACCAATGCCCTCGGCAGTCCTTTCTGAAGCGATGGTGCTGTACATCCATTCATCGAAAGGCCGAAAACAGATCGTGGAGGCATCAATCCACAAGCCGCCGTACTTGGCCAAGAGTGCAAGCCTGCCACGGCTCAGTAAGGCTCTGTGCACTTTAGAGGGGACTTACTTAGGGACTCTTAGGGATTCTAAAAAGGGGAAGGAGCTGGCCGGGCCTCACCGCATCGGCCTGCCAGGGGACGTACATCTCTGGCCAGAGCCTCGGGAGTTCCTTTGGGTCCAGATACTCATGGACATTCCTTTGGTCCAGCATCTCTATCCTCGCATTGCTGTCCCCAAGCAGATTCGATCTGAACATCAAGTCTGGCAAAGGCGCGAGTCCTCCAACCCGGATTCTGCGTGGCCCAGGTTTCCATGCACAGGCGCCTGAATTCTGGCAAATTTTCCTGGGCAGCTTGGATTCTTTGTTTTTTGAAACGCAGAGTTCGAAGAACCTCGTACACGGCCTGGTTTTTGGAGAGCAAACACGAACAAGTGTCCTTCCCTTTATCCCAGAAAGACCAAGCGATGCGTGGTGCTTCGCTGATCTCCTCGCCAACGCTGCCCAAACAGCGCCGCCCACCCCTGTCAGCATGCCAGAGACGCCCAGGCCGAGGTGGTGGGCGGCTCACAAGACTCCGCACGCGCGAGACGAAGGCACCGTCTTGGGAGAAGGCGAAGAGGACACTCAGAGCTGCAGTCTGGCATCCCACGCGGCGGCTTCGCAACAACATGCAGGCCAAATCCCATTGCGGTGTCGCTTCGGATGTTGCGGTTGCCTGAACTCCCTGCGTCTGCATGTGGCAGATTGTGGCTGCACATCTTTGCAATAGCTTCTTCGGGCTGGCGCAACTTTCTTGAGGATCTGCACATAATAAAAGGTTGGCAGAGGAGGAATCCAGTGAATGCAAGACCACTTGCGACCTGATTTGATGTGGGCCCCTTTATCCCATCGCGCGTTTCGCCATCCAAGGCAGCACGTGGCTGCGGAGCATCCTCCCAATAACATGTGCAAGACTCAGCAAGGCTGTAAAACGCCCAGGATGGCGGCACAAGCTTCACTTGTATGCCTGGCGAGCTTGCAAGCTAACACTATCGATACCCTGCCAAAAACAACTGTTGGACTCCACCAGACGAATGGGGTGTGCCGATGTGACCGATTTCTACCAGGCGCCAAGGGTCCCTTTGGGACGGCAAGGCGTCTTGGTGTCGGCTGCATGTCAGGCTGCCAGGATTTATCGCCAGCGGCGAGCCTGAAACCCCAGGCCTGGTCAGTGCCGCCTTCCCAAAAAAGCGCATATCCTAAAATTGAAGTACATTCGTGTTTTCTACCGGACCGTCACCTCACGCATCGAGGCGCTCTTGGATACTTCCAGGCAGCACTTTCAGTACGCTGGGCTCCTGAACAGTAGCCGCAGAGAGGCGATGGAAGTAGCTGTTGCCACCATAGGTCCCGAGATCTCCATTCCCCAACATGCACACACCGCTGGTTAACACCCCAGCTCACAAATAGACTTCATCAGCAGAGATGACTAGACCCCAAACTCCCATTGGTGTGCAGATTTCACACAAGGTTACATTCTGCGGGTCACACTGTGCGCATGCGTCCTCCGAGACAAAGAACGGACTGCTGTGATCTGCCTTATAATCATAGCCAACTACACCTAGCACTCTTGACAACTGTGCTGAATAAAGTGGCAAGACAGCAAGTTGGCCGGGCTTTCAATCTCAGGACTGCACCCGAGATTTCGGAGCAAGCACGCCACGGGAGTCTCCCACCTTTGTGGTGGTGGCGGGTCGAAGCATACTACTCAACGAGGTGGTGAAACAGGGAGGGTGGAGCGGAGGGGAGGGGAGGGGTCTCGAAATCTGACGGGAACTTGCTCTCACGAAGTCGGATGACCAAGCTGCAGGCTGCTGCGTGCAGCTGCGAAACAGACATCGCCGCACCAGACGAGGATGCCGCGGACCTGCGCAAGAAATCTTGAGAATGCTGGCCGGAGGCTGCGAAAAGAACAATAAACAATGGTCTTACCACAGCACAGTACTTTGCCCTAGAATCCCATCTGCGCCTGTTTGAAGGTGCAGCCTCGGAACATGGGAGCATCACACTAATTACCGTTTCGAGGCTTTGGTTGTGTTGCCGCATCGGTCCGGGAAAGCGAGCTATTTGAAGCCTGGGTCCGTGGCGAGGCGGCTCCGGAAGTGTGCCTGCAGAACATGTGTTTTCGCATCGCGGGTGCCGCCTCGGAGAAGCATGGTTTTTTTTCGTCTGAGGCCGGCACGTCGTCAGACCTGACGAAATTTTGTTGCTTGTTTTCTTGGGGGAGGCCTAAACCATGCCATGCTCCGCACAAGGACCAGCTTCGACCGAGTGTCGGTGGGGCGCCGAAGCTCTCCAAGCCGCCGCCCCCCTGTGCAGTGACGATTGCAGGATCCGATCACAAAGGCTGCTCGCCCGATTGTTTCTGTTGACATTCGCGGGTGCAAGTCTTCCGCTGAACCACAGCGGCAATGCAGTCTGAGCTCTTTGCCAGTGCGTAAGAACTGTCCGGGCTCCTTAGCGAGTAGCTTGCGCAAGACATGCCAGTCTGCACCGGTGTGCACAGCCCTGTCCGATCATCGGTTTACCGTCTTGCTGCCTGGCCACAGGACGCCGCTTCCCTGCACCTGCCAACATTTGCGAACATGAAGCTCGAAAGCTGCTCTTTCGTTCAACTGAAACTGGGTATCCAGCCCGAACGAAGCCTGGCATTGGCACAGAGAAAAGTGCTACACAGCTTGCGATTTGCCTAGCGGACCATTACGGATCATGTACCAGTGCCAGTGCACATCAAAGTCTGCACATGTTGCTCTGCTATGGAGCTGCTCAGACGGCAGAGCATCTTTGCCAGCCTGAATCAATCAGCCGCCTGCTGCCACCCCGGTAGGCCTTCCGCAACAGCTGACAACTTACATGCTCTTTCAAGCGCGGTGATGTAATCAGTGGGCCCAGGCAGAGACTCGTTCCAACATACTTGATCTGACTGTTGACCCGCGATCTTGCATCATAGAACGAAAAGCAACAGCTCGAGAAACTCAAAGCCAATTGTGACAACGTGGTAGTCACACCTGTCTCCTGCATGCGCTCTGGAGCCATGGTTCGTTTTCCGTTCATGTTCATTCGCATCCCGGCCTGCATCAGACAGTTTGTAACCTGCACAGGACATGATGTGACCTTCAGGCTGCATGCCACAAGGAGGGTACATCAGTCTATCACGAGGCGTGGACGCTCATGCGGATGAACTCTTCAGACTCCCCAGCGAGTCCCAGCCTCAGGCGTCCAAAGTGCTTGACAGTCAGGATGTTCCCAGCTTTGTCTGGCTTACACTTACACTTGTCACAAGGAGCATCGCAACACAGCTGACGTCAAGCAACTGACCGATATATGGGTAGCTCTGCAGGGACTGGCTCGGCAACTGTACACTGCCGAGCTGTGAAACGCCGCTCCGGCGCCTCCGGCTGACTCAAATTCCCTCAACCGCTTGAAGTTTGCCCCGTTTTAAGTGTGCACGGAGGTCCGGCGAAAGCTGGCCTTGCAGCTTAAGCTTCGGCACATGGGCCACAAGGCTGCAATGGGGCGACATGCGCTGTTCACCGCTGTTCACGTATGCAGAGCGCCACCCATGCCTAAGTCAGATCTTGTTATGGGAGCACTGGTCTGTCTCGCGGCAGGGGCAGTGCAGGCCAGGCACAGCTGTGGTACCCAAACCGGCCAAGTAGCCAAGCCACCTATCCAAAGAAGCTAACGAGAACCAAGGATAACGAAGGAAGAGGTGCTCTTTGTCCCGAATCCCAGCCTGGAAGGGCGCACCTTGCTTGGGATTTCCGTTTCTGGCATCTGCTGCTGCGCCCGTTCCGGAAAGGGGTCACCTCGTCGGGTAGCTCTTAGCCTTCGAACGTCGAGCAGAGTCAAACTGGGGGCCTCGTAGAGCCGAAGTGGAGGTCACGGAAGTCGCGGCTGTTCGCTCCTGCGAGAGATTGCGAGAGCAGAAGTGATGCCGACGGCTTTTTGACATGTCAACTGTCTTGGCTAAAGACGGGCATCAAGGCTAAGCACACAGTGGACTGTAGGACTGCTGCAATCGTCGGCAATGCAACAACAATCCTTCTGGTGTGCGGTCGTTTCGTTGCAAGCGGCTACTCTTTGCAACGCTTTTCAACTTTCGCCCGCACCCTGACCTGTCTGGTGGTCTCTGCCGGGACAGTGCTGGCAAATGCCGTGGTGGTGGTAGTTGTCTCGCCTGTTTCACCATCTGAGGAAAATCTCCATAACGCATACTCAACAGTTGCCTCCGAGTGCCGGGCAGTTCTCGGGACACACGATCCGCACGAAGGTGCCATGAGGCAAGAGGTGCTCCTCTATCGCAAGATCATGTGCCTGGGGCGTTGAAGCATGAGGTCAGCGGCACGATAACAAGAAGCCTGCTCGAATGCTACTTTATGCTGATTGCTAACTCATGCGAACTCACGATGAGCAAACTGCTCTCACCCAGCTGCCCAAACCGTCTCGAAGCCAAGCTGTCCTACAGTACTGCCAAACAGCAGTTATTACGATCTCTGCTGCCACGACTGCCGCTAATGTCGCTGCTGTTACTAGTGCTGTTGCTGCTCCTGCTCCGACTCCGACTGCGACGGCTCCGGCTGCTGCTTCACCTACTGCTACTGCTACTGCTGCTGCTGCTGCTGCTGCTGCTAGTACCACCTACCATGCCCACCACCACCACCACCACCACCACCACCACCCCTACCCCTGCCCCTGCCCCTGCCCCTGCCCCTGCCCCTGCCCCTGCCCCTGCCCGTGCCACTACTACTTCCCTTGCCACTGCCACTGCCACCACGGCTACTACGACCTCGACTACGACTACTGCTGCTGCTGCTGCTGCTGCTGCTGCTCCAGCTACTGCTGGCCTGAGGCCCCTTCCCTCGCGTGAAAGATAATCATGCTGCATTGGAAGCCCCGCCCCTGAACGCTCACTTGCCAAAGTTCTGCAAGCAATGGCTGTTGTCTCTCTCTCTCTCTCGGGGCTAAGGCGGCTAAGGGCTAAGAGGGTTCTTTTTCTTTCGCACGGGTAAGAGGAGGGGGAGCGACCCCCACCCCTGCGCTCCAAGCAGGGGGTCCTGTCCTCGCTCTCTCTGTGATTGGCTCGCTTGCTGGGGCAATTCAGCTCCAAGTGATGTCATGCAGAGGAAGGACCAACAACGAACGGTCTCTAAGGCATGGGCGCAGCCTCCATCAAGCTTCATCAGAGATGGGCACATCCTTCGGTACCTGTCCTTAAAACCGGTGATGCGTTGCCGTCGAGACATGGCACATGAAAAGGGTGAACTGCCTTAACAGTTTAACACATACGGCATGACATACGGACGTCTCATGCGTTCACAAAGCACTTTGCAATGTTCGGTAAGGAACAAATTGTTCCGGAAGAGCAACCAGGTTTACCTTGCATCTCATTCCCTCGCAACTGCGTCACCATCGGAGGTTTTTTTGCTCTAAACTCTAGACGTGGAAAGGCCTCGTGCTCAGGTCACTTCGCCTATGCATCGGCAAGCCTACTTGTATTGCATTGGCGCTGCGCGTTGTTGCTAGAATTCATACTTTGAAACCGACACGAAAACAGTCTTCAGCACATGCCAACCAAACAAAAGGTTGTGTTTCTTGATGCAACCTGGCAACCTCCACGGTTTTTTTTTG